TTTAAAGATGGGCACTACATTAGCCTTTTTTCCAGTCGTCCGGGACATCCCTGACACCAGAGCAATCCCCCCTCCTACCCTCTGGCAACATTTCAAGTCTCTGCTCTAAAGCATGAATCATAGAATCATAGAATCATAGAATATAAGGGTTGGAAGGGACCCCAGAAGGTCATCTAGTCCAACCCCCTGCTCAAAGCAGGACCAATTCCCAGTTAAATCATCCCAGCCAGGGCTTTGTCAAGCCTGACCTTAAAAACCTCTAAGGAAGGAGATTCTACCACCTCCCTAGGTAACGCATTCCAGTGTTTCACCACCCTCATAGTGAAAAAGTTTTTCCTAATATCCAATCTAAACCTCCCCCACTGCAGCTTGAGACCATTACTCCTCGTTCTGTCATCTGATACCATTGAGAACAGTCTAGAGCCATCCTCTTTGGAACCCCCTTTCAGGTAGTTGAAAACAGCTATCAAATCCCCCCTCATTCTTCTCTTCTGCAGGCTAAACAATCCCAGCTCCCTCAGCCTCTCCTCATAACTCATGTGTTCCAGACCCCTAATCATTTTTGTTGCCCTTCGCTGGACTCTCTCCAATTTATCCACATCCTTCTTGAAGTGTGGGGCCCAAAACTGGACACAGTACTCCAGATGAGGCCTCACCAATGTCGAATAGAGGGGAACGATCACGTCCCTCGATCTGCTCGCTATGCCCCTACTTATACATCCCAAAATGCCATTGGCCTTCTTGGCAACAAGGGCACACTGCTGACTCATATCCAGCTTCTCGTCCACTGTCACCCCTAGGTCCTTTTCCGCAGAACTGCTGCCTAGCCATTCGGTCCCTAGTCTGTAGCTGTGCATTGGGTTCTTCCGTCCTAAGTGCAGGACCCTGCACTTATCCTTATTGAACCTCATCAGATTTCTTTTGGCCCAATCCTCCAATTTGTCTAGGTCCTTCTGTATCCTATCCCTCCCCTCCAGCGTATCTACCACTCCTCCCAGTTTAGTATCATCTGCAAATTTGCTGAGAGTGCAATCCACACCATCCTCCAGATCATTTATGAAGATATTGAACAAAACTGGCCCCAGGACCGACCCTTGGGGCACTCCACTTGATACCGGCTGCCAACTAGACATGGAGCCATTGATCACTACCCGTTGAGCCCGACAATCTAGCCAGCTTTCTACCCACCTTGTAGTGCATTCATCCAGCCCATACTTCCTTAACTTGCTGACAAGAATACTGTGGGAGACCGTGTCAAAAGCTTTGCTAAAGTCAAGAAACAATACATCCACTGCTTTCCCTTCATCCACAGAACCAGTAATCTCATCATAGAAGGCGATTAGATTAGTCAGGCATGACCTTCCCTTGGTGAATCCATGCTGGCTGTTCCTGATCACTTTCCTCTCATGCAAGTGCTTCAGGATTGATTCTTTGAGGACCTGCTCCATGATTTTTCCAGGGACTGAAGTGAGGCTGACTGGCCTGTAGTTCCCAGGATCCTCCTTCTTCCCTTTTTTAAAGATTGGCACTACATTAGCCTTTTTCCAGTCATCCGGGACTTCCCCGGTTCGCCACGAGTTTTCAAAGATAATGGCCAATGGCTCTGCAATCACAGCCGCCAGTTCCTTCAGCACTCTCGGATGCAACTCGTCCGGCCCCATGGACTTGTGCACGTCCAGCTTTTCTAAAAAGTCCCTAACCACCTCTATCTCCACAGAGGGTGCTAGAGGCTTGTGACAAAACAGAGTTAGGAACCCTTTTAACATGAGCAAATGAATGTATTTTCCCCTGATCTCGTGCTCAGAAATGGCTGACCCATTTTTGCTGAAATGGATATGCAGTGCAATGGTTATCACATCTGCTTTACACACAGACAGTCCTGGGTTTGAGCACCAGCAGCTACTTGTGTGAGTGACAATGTTTATAAAATCCGGCAAACCTTGTACTGCCGTTTTCAGGGGCTGATTTTGTTTTGCAGCAGGAAACGGTATTAGTGTGAGGCTGTCACTCTCTGTGTCAAGCGAGCTCCAGATGTGTCCCATTGCAGCTGAATGTCACTCCATCCCCAGAAAGTCAGCAATGGTGAGGCCTCATCTGGAGTACTGTGTCCAGTTTTGGGCCCCACACTACAAGAAGGATGTGGAAAAATTGGAAAGCGTCCAGCGGAGGGCAACAAAAATGATTAGGGGTCTGGAACACATGACTTATGAGGAGAGGCTGAGGGAACTGGGATTGTTTAGTCTGCGGAAGAGAAGAATGAGGGGGGATTTGATAGCTGCTTTCAACTACCTGAAAGGGGGTTCCAAAGAGGATGGATCTAGACTGTTCTCCGTGGTAGCAGATGACAGAACAAGGAGTAATGGTCTCAAGTTGCAGTGGGGGAGGTTTAGGTTGGATATTAGGAAAAAACTTTTTCACTAGGAGAGTGGGGAAGCACTGGAATGGGTTACCTAGGGAGGTGGTGGAATCTCCTTCCTTAGAGGTTTTTAAGGTCAGGCTTGACAAAGCCCTGGCTGGGATGATTTAATTGGGGACTGGTCCTGCTTTGAGCAGGAGGTTGGAATAGCTGACCTCCTGAGGTCCCTTCCAACCCTGATATTCTATGATTCTGACATAGCCTGTAATAGTAGAAGTGCCTGCTGATCCTCAGACAGTGTGGTTGAACCTCATACAATTTCTCTACATCCTTAGGCCATGTCTCGAGTGGAGAGCTTATAGCGGCACAGCTATGCCGCTGCAGCTACGCTGCTGTAAGAGCGTCCGTGTAGCCACTCTGTGTGGTCAAACCGAGAAACCAGGGAAAAGAAAATCAGTTTGTTTCTAACCCAAACTGAAGGTTTTTTTGAATCTCTTGCTGAAGTGGTGCATCAAAAAGCCAATTCAGTCACATCAAAGGCAGCTTTTCCCATGTCATTTTGAAATGGCCTTTCGATTCCAATCAATGTTTCGCTCAGGAAATGTCGCCTCAAAATGAAATGTCAAAACTCTTTCATTGGAAAACGTCCAAACGTTTTGATGCTGCTGAAATTTTTGTTTTCAGTTCTTTTGGGAGGAAGAGAAGAACCTTTCTGGAAATGCCACGAGCACCCACAGGAATAAAAACTCATTTGGTCTGGTCCTTCTGGACATTGGGGCCTTTGCAAAAGGCTCCCATTCAGGCAAGAGACAAGGAGCAGCCACAGGCTGAGCAAAGTGACTGTGACACAGTGTTTATTCACATTGTCCCATCCAGCCCTAGCAAAGCTCCCCTGGCTGGACGCTCACCAGGCTGCTGGGTTTGGGTCCCACCCCACGGGCCCCTTGTGCTCTCAAGCGTCCCTCAGTCTGAGTAGGCTGCAGCATTTCCCTCCCCTTGGCCTGTCTGGCACATTTCCTGGGCCTGGGCTCTCTTTCTGTTAGCCCTTCACAGAAATGGGACCAGATGGCCCAGCAGCCCTCACCCCCAGCACCAGTGCTGACCCCGCCCCAGACTCCCCAGTAGCTTAGACACACCCTTTCCCAGATTGCCAAACTTTTGAGCACTCTGGGTTTACAGTTCACCTCTTCAGGGGGTCGTGATAGTGAAACAAACAGACACACGAGCTTTGCAAAAGGGTTTCAAACCAATCACTCTTTATGGTAGCTAGTGCAAGAAATATACATATCTAGACAAAGCAATAAGAAATCTAGGCACATTTCCCTGCCTCGCTTTCCTCACCATGCTGGTGTATGCTTTGGGTGAAGGTCAGAGTCCCTCAGGGAGTCCTGGGTCCCCAATCCTGCACATGGCTCATCTTCTGAGCCAGGCACTCTCTCTTTCTCCTGCAGTCAGTGCCCTCATCTCGGTCTCTAAAATGGCCACTGACAAACCCTCTCTTTTACAACCTCCCATCTCCTTTGCCAGGTGAAACCTTGGTGCTCAGAGTCCCTCACCAGGTGATCTATTGCTTAGTGACCTCCCCATGGAAGTCACACTTGAAACATGGGTGTGCCCTGGGCATCAGCCATCTCCGTTTCCAGGGGGATTCCGTTTGAACGGACGACCATCAAAGTTAGACAAGAGTATCCCTGGGCCCCCAACCCTTGGGATTTAGTCCAAGATGGAGGTACAGAGGCAGTAGCAAGGCAATAAAACAGCTGTAGAATCAAAATGATGTTTGCAGCCAGATACGGATACATGCAGAGAGTTCATCTCACAACAACTTTATACCCTGTAAATCAATTCCCCAGATTGTCTCACATTCCCCAAATCACCAAGGCTGGGGTGAATACAGAGAAAGAGGAGTTAGAGAGCAATACCTTACAGTTAGCCTGGTCATTTTGGAGCGCTGGTGCCTGGCAATATTAGTAGAGGAGTTTGAATTTGATTAGTAGATTGTTAGTTTGTATTATTTCCATTGGAATAAAGGTGAACTATTCAAATATCAGCTGGGATCAGCGGGAGTCCAGAGCTGCACGGAACGATCCCCTGCCTTTCATGGGAGTGTGCCTGCGCAGGGAGCTGGCTGGGGAATGAGTTACATGGGGACAGTCCTAGTCATGCTACTATTATTCCCCCCCCCCCACCATTTCTCCAGGCCATTGAATTTTTACTCAGCATATTTACAGGGAAAGTGGGGAGGCTGCGAGATGTTCCCAACACTAATTCTTTACAGAAGAGATAACACTCACCAGGTGATACCACGGAAAACTTGCCACCAAAACTGAAATTACATGTCAGAGGCATTTTTAGAACAAAGCAGATCAGACCATAATAGACCCTGATCCCATTCAAGTCAATAGGACTTTCCAAACTGATTCCACTGGGAGCAGGTTGGGCCCCATGTGACCCATTGTTGTTCTTTACAACTGCACAGAACCCTGGGGCTCTCCTCTAGGGAAGGACTCTGCTCTGGGTGGGCATGGGGAAGAATTAGCAAGTGACCTACCAAGTCCTTTCCCATTCTGAGTTCTTTGATTCTGGGATCTAGAGAAATTTCCATCCTCAGAACAGGGTCTCCCAGGCTGGGTGCTGTATGGATTTAAGTGACCGCCTCCACTGGCTCTGCACTCGTGGTCTCTCCATCTTCTCTGGAATCTGTCTTCTCTTCAGAAACCCTCTGGAGTGAGATCTTGATGGAGCCATAGAATCGCCACTTCCCATAGCTCCCGACTAGAAAGTAAATAAATGGGATGGTGCTGCTGCTTGCAGAGGCCAGCACATGAAATATCTCACTGGGATTGTGTGTGTTACGATAAGAGAGGAAGATCTGAACACTCTGAGGGACAGTGAAGAGGAGGAAGAAGAGGACGGCGAGCAGGATAACAGCATAGAGCTTTCCTGGCTGACGTTGCTGTGAGCTATATTGGACCTTGATTAACAGGGTCAAACTGGACAGAACCATGATGGGAGTGAATATCAGGACATTCAGAACAAAGATGGGTAGGAAGGATTTGACACAGTTTTCATCTAAAAGAACAATACAAAAAACACCCACTGGACAGGACACCAGCATGGAGAGAGCCCAGAGCAGGGCAGAGACAAGGGCAGACAAGCGTTTTGCCCGGCAGCATCAGTGCCAGATGGGGTAGAGGACGGAGAGACACCTCTCAGTGCTGATGGCCATCAGGAGGTACAGGCTGGTGCTGTACGTCGACAGAGCCAGCATGCTAAATAGCAACATTATGAAAATAAAAACAACCTTCACACAAAATGGATATTCCACCACATAAGCTATGAGATAAGTAGTCGAGCAGAGGAGGAAGCAGGTGTCGGAGACAGCCAGGTTGAGGATGTAGACAGTTGAAGTGAAAAGTTAACTCTGTAGTTGCTGGAGGGAATTATCAGTTGAAATTTGTAAAAATGCTAAAGAAAAAGAATTTTTGGTTTCTTTGCAGCCATTCTGAAAGGAAAATGGGCCTTTTTTTAAAAGAAATGTCTGTAAATAAATCCAGGCAAAGAAACTATGTGATTGAAATCATTTGGCTATAAAAAATTTAGTCAAATTAGCTAAAAGAACATATGGGGTTTTATTAAAATTTAACCGCCCAAATGTATAAGAAATGTAAATATATAATGCTACTTAATTAAGATCCTATTAGACTGTAAGGGGCTACAATAGTTGGTGTTTTCCTTTTTAGAGTTGTGTTGTAAAAACAGGAGTTAAAAGTAAAAGGCAATCAAAAGTCTGGTAAAGTTTATTGTGCCCTTTTTAAAGTAAGAATCTTTAAGCTGTGAATCCAAAAGCAAGCCGAAAAAAATTTGTTTTCATGTAAATTACCTAACTGATGGGCTGCCTATAAAACAAATACAAGAAAATATGGGTAATTCCTCTGTTTTGCCTGCATTTAACAAAGGTATTTGTATAAAAAGGAAATATTTTAAGTAATGACTGACTGCCCAGAAGGGGTAGATCTATGTTCTTTTTGTCTTTCAAAAATCAGAGAAAACTAATGCCAGCTGAAAAGCAATTCAACATCTCATGAATTTACTGGCACAATAGGAATTATGTTCTGTGTTCTATGTCCTGTCTTGTGGTGTTTGTCTTGTGGCCAGAATTGCTGTGTTTAATTTTTCATAGGACAGTTTAGTTTAAAATTAAATAGAAGGGTTAAATCAAAATACAGGTACTTGTTTTATTCAACTTGGAATACAAAGTGTTTGAATAATATCAGGAAAATGTGATATACTAAAGTTTAATACATTTGCTTAAGTAAAAAAAAAAATTTCATTGTCCAGATCTTTTAATTAAAAAAAAAAATTGTTAAAATTCACACACCAACAGTCTTTGGAAGCAAGGACATGAAAGGTTAACCCACTCCCCATATTATACATGGGATCCTTCTGGCTACCTCAAATTTCTAGCCAAAGGGTTGGGAAAGAAAAAAAGCTTTGGACACCAGAGGTTGTACCAAGTGGACTCCTCAAAAGTGGGTGTGCTTGTCCTGGCTTGTTGCTCCAAAGCTCCGTAATAAAGTCATTTTCCTAAAAGGGTGTATGTGGCATACATTGAACAATAAGACTAAAGTGCTGTATAATGGGCAATGTATATGTGTTCATTTTTAAACAAAGGTATGTAAATAAAAAGTTTCCTTGGCAGGTTAATAAAAGCCAAAAAAAAAAAAAAAAAAAGAACAAAAGGGCGAGCTAATTCATCGCTGCAGCTGGTAGGCTCGGTCCAAAAAATAAGACGCTGGCCTGCCCAAGGACACTACTCACAGCTAGGATTTGGCTGACAGCCAAGAAAGAGGGGGGCTTGAATGTGCCAAGCAGCTGTGAGATCTGTAAAACACTGCCAGACATTAATGAAATGTGTTAGGTCTCTGCATTTACAGGTGAAAGAAGTCCTGCTCCAAGAATCCTGAGCAAACCTGCCATTTGTTAAAACCAGGTGACTGGGTCTACAGAAAGGTCCATCAACAAAAGACTACTCTGGCCCCATGCTGGAAAGGCCCTTATTAAGTCCTGCTAACTACCAACACCGCTGTAAAGTGCCAAGGACTGACTGCCTGGACCCATGCTTCTTACTGCAAAAAGACCCCTCCACATCAAGATGACTTCACTTCGACTACTGATCACCCTGTCCCTTCTTCTGGGTTTTTTCCTTTCCTCCTTTTGGACAGCAGGGGAAAGGACAAAGTAAAGTGCTAGTAACCTCTCCCTTGTCCACTGATGGAGCTAACCTGTATTGCACCTCTAGGGAACCTGACCTGGAAAAAGGTTCCCCAGAAGCAGATGGCGTTGGACTTCGAGGGAGCTATGCACATTCACCCCACCGTAAACCGGGTGAATCAGAAGCAGACGACATCTGTGCTCAAGACAAATGGACTACCACTCCTTTGGGTGACCTGAAGCTCTGGCTGCAGCTAAGAAAAACCTTAAGTTGGTAGTGTCCTCTTAAAAAAAATTGGCCCCGCTCTTTAAGCTGGGTTCTTGTGTTTTTAACTTGTTTGTTATTTTTCTTTTTTGGTGGTACAAAAAGTTAAAACTATAGAATCACACAGCTCTAATACATTTATTCGTCTTGCCCATGAAATGAAATCTTGTATGCCAGCCCTACAAAACACCTCATGCTGGTTGTTCATTAATGCCAGCTGATAGCCACAAAGGTCTTCCCATGGTCCCTATTCCCCTTAGTGCAATGAATATGACCTGGACCCCGTCCTAAAAAAATTCTTCAGGCAATTAAAATATTACCTGGGCTGATACCGGCATCTCTAAAAACAAGTATCTAATAGTTTAAAAACAAGTTGGTCAATGGTGCCTATTAAAAGAAGGGAAAATAGCTTTGGGTAATAGTGAGTGTGCAGCCTACTTTAATGGCACTCATTTTGGAAGTAAAAGAGGTCCTAATATCTCTCTCCTGAATGGGGCAACCTCTTGCACCTCCGCGTGGTATAAATTCGTGGGTAACAAGTGCAATCTGCATAAAAAATATTTTATATAAAGGACATAAGTTAATTAAGCATTACGTTATAAATTGTACACTTGGGTATAACCTGCCAACTCATACTATGTGTTTATGTTCCTCTAACGATCTCCATGGCTAAATTCTCCCTCCTCCCATCTTGGACCGAATGGTACAAACTTATTAATAATACCTGGTCCAAAGTCACTCCTTCCCTTTTTGGAGTATACTGGGTGTGTGGTAACAAGACATACCTAGCCCTCCCTCCTTCACGGAGAGGATCCTGCTACTTGGCTTGGTTAGAACCACCTGTAGTATACCGCACACGTCTCCCTAAAACAAAAAATCAAAAATGTAAAAAGGGCTAAAAAAATGCGAATGACTCACGCCCCCTTACTTGGCGCGCCCTAAATGATTGGACGGGTGCTTGTGCAGGATTTGTCTTCACCTGGGGAGGTGCCACCTGGCGTATTGGGGAAGGAGTCATAAGACTTCAAAAAATGTTAAAAATAATGGCAAATACTACTGCCAATGCCTTGGTAAATTTGGCAACCAATCAAAAAAAACTAAGGCAGATGGTTCTCCAAAACCGCTTGGCATTAAATATTTGCTAGCCTCAAAAAGAAACATGTGCGTTAATTGGGCAAGAATGCTGTGTGTATGTTCCGGACGTTTATAACACCACCTGGGAAAGAGCAAACTACCTTATGCAAGTTGCAAAAAAAACATAAAAAAAAAGCGAATCCACTCATGGTGGAGCAATTTGTTCAATTGGGTTCCAAACATAGGTGGCTAGCTTCGCAGTGCCGTTGTAATTATTTGTGGCCTAATAGTTTTGTATGTTATGTTAAGATGTGGCTGTTAAATGGGTACCAAGCTGTGCCCTACCAACCAGTAAATATTTCTAAGTCACTCCACACAGAGACCAGTATGTCCCAAGAGTTCCCCTATGGCACTCTAGGGACAAAGGGGGGACTATTAGGTAAAAAAAAATTAAATATGAAGCAGTTATACCAACCGAACCAAAGTCAGGCCAATAAAGGTTGCTGGAAAAGTCCCTAAAAAAATATAAGTAGAATGAAAGAATACTTGTTTAAGTTGCAGGGAGTAAGAAAAAAGGGGAGGCCTGCATTCCTACGTTTTTGTACCAAATGTTCTGGGAACAGTTTGTTGAGATAGGAGGCACTGTTTTCCACTCCTTGTTTTTGTGTTATGTCTGTTCTTAACTCCTTGTCTCCTGGTTGACACCCATACCGATAAGAAAATTAGTGAAGCATTGCGATTTGCTAAAAGTTATCTACAATAAGGGGGTAGAAGTGCATGCATAATACAGAAAGAGGATTTTAACTAACATAGGGGAGGGGTGGGCTGCTTTATGAATAAATCTGTGACGCGACGGAACTGTCTATAAAAACCTATTAGTTTTACTTAGAGGCTGGCTGGTTCTCTTTGGAGATGGGCTGCTCTCTATTGTTGTGTGCACTCTTCAATAAGGAGCTTTGAGTTCAGACCTTGCTGGTGTTGCCTGTCTCTCTCTGGTCAAACAACGAACCGTGCTGTCTGGGGTTCAAGTCCTCGACACTCTTAATGTGGAAGCTGTGGAACCAGAGCACGATCCCGTTCCCCACCAGCCCGAACAGGCAGATGAGCACAGTGATGCCGTAGATGGTTCCTGGTGGTGCATCAGCCAGTAGGCATCCAGTCTCGTTATATTCCACTTCATAATCTAGGCCAAACAATGTTGGGGGAAGGGACACTGTGCTCAACTCGGCCATCATGAAACCTCTGCTGCAGGATGCCGGTCTCTCCCTCTCCCCCTCTCACACACACCTGTTAGCAGAGAACAGACAAAGGCGGGTCAGTGACTCGGACATCCCCAGCGCTGTTTCACCGGTCATCCCAGCCCCTCCCCAGCCCCCTGGCCGGGAAAAGCCAGATCCCAACGAGTGGGAGTCAGAAATATCGAGAGAGATAATGGCCATGGGGGATGCTAGGGACAGAGAGAGACCTGGAGAAAGGCTGATGGGTGGGGAGCATCTTGGACTGACAGCAAGTGACAGAGACAGAATTAAACACAGGGGCTGAGCTGGACAGACAGACAAGGACAGAGAAACAGAAACTGGACAGGATGTTGGCCATGTAGAGACAAGGAAGAGCACTGGGGATGGGGTGGGGCCGGGGGAAGTGGATAGCCGGAGAGAGAGAGAACAATCATGTTTAATTAATGGTGGTAAAGAGCATTGAATCCATCCAGCAGTTCCTTACCTTCTTTCCTCCCTGGGGCCTGAACTGAGTGTTTACAGGAGCCGGGCTGGGCCAGATCCACTTCACAGTCACTAACTGCAATTCTCCAAATTGGATCTTCTTGGGAAAGTTTTCCAAGTAATAATTTGTTATCCAGACATGGAGAATG